CCCCCCCCCCCCCCCCCCAACGTCTATTGGCTAGGATTCCAGGTTTTCATCCAGGCTACCCAGGTTCAATTCCTGGGCAGGGAACTAGGATCTCTCTTCAGGACCATTCACTGCTGTCTCTCCGAGATCAAGACCACCCTATCCTCTTGCAATGTGGCCAAAGTCACTGTGGGGTGGGTTGGAGTGTCTCACAAAGGAGCACTCAGGTTGCCCACCAGTGCGCGTACACACACACACACACACACAGTTTCTGTTTTGCTGGGAATCCAAATGGGGGTTAAGACCTCCTCTCAAAACCATCCTCTTTCAACCTGCTGGCTACAACATGAAAGGGGAGTGAAAATTGATTTTCATCGCAGCTCCAAACCTGAAATGTGAAGCAATCTCTAGGTTCTAATAGTTTTATTTTCAGAAAGAACTTTTCTCTCTAATTCTCTTAGCCAAGGGAGCTGCTAAATAACAAGTCTGGTCCTTGGCATGTTTCAAGTGAAATTTTCCAATTGCAAACATCCATCTGTGCGTTGGGAGGAGCAGTGAGGAGACTCTGCGGCACATACCATTGTTTTCAAAAAGTGTGTGATGAAAACTGTGCGTAAGAAAACAAAGAGATAAGGAGGCCAGGAGGGTGCGGTCAGCCCTGAGTGGCGCTGGGTGCCTTAAGGCAGGAAAGACGAGTCCTTGCGGCCTGGAACCTTGTGTGTCCGAGTCTCGCTTCCTGAGCTGCAGGAAGGAAGCATTTAAGTGTGGGACCGCAAGAAGCGCTTGTAAACAGAGAGCCGGGCCGGAATGGTCGGTGGACGAACCGGCCGTGACCGTGAGGAGAGTTGGCTGCCAAAGCCGAATCACAGCCAGAAGTAGGCTGCAGGCCCCGCAGGTGAAGGGGGAAAAGTAGCCGGAGGCCAGGTGAGCATCTGCCTGCTTCTGTGCTGCCTGACTGGCCACTGCGGGTAGGGTGTGGGGATGACAGCATTGTGAGTATCCGAGAAGCTCCCTGGCGTAGCGGTGATTTTGCTGTTTCTTCCGTGCCCTGGTTTCTATTTCATCCTGGAAACTGCACAGCAGTGCAGTGGATAATAGGTGAGGGGAGACTGTATGATGCGTTGTCTGTTTATTTTTATGAATCAGGTATATAAGTATAAAGCAGTTGAAATAGCTGATCCCGTTCTGTGTGTTGTTTTTAGTACCCCGCCGCCCCTCCTGGGTCTTAGAAACCAAGCCTCAGCAGAGCTTTTAACTCACATCTAACTGGGGCTTTCAGACTACAACGATTGTTCCATCTGTTGACCTTGTTCATTTTTAATATACAGTAAATGACACTATGTGACTGATGACAAGCATGATTTGGTCTTCCATGAAAGGATTACTAAGCAAAAAGATCGAGATAAGGACATTTCAGACCCACTCCTCAAATAAAGTGTTACTACTGAGATATACAAATGAATGACAAATTGAGACTGGTCTAGAGTTATAGCTTGCAAAGCAGGACAGATTTGAATTTACTAGGTTAAACTGAGATTGAGCTATGCGGTTGTAAACTAATTTGGAAGTTTTTTTCTTCTTGGAAAAGAGAAATACCTGGGTTTTCTTCCTTTAATATTATAATTTCAGTAGTCATAGTGAATTATGATTTGTATTCATTCATAAGATACTTTATTATAAAATACCACATGTAAATTATAATTGGCACACCTTAAGATATAAGGCAAATTTTGTTTCATGAACTTCAAAAACAAATGCCTTAACCAAAATTGGGCTAAAAGGTCAGTGCATGTGTCACCTTGGTCACATAGTCTAACTTTTAGTTACTAGAACAATATTAGATTAAATTGCTCATAGAAAAATGTTTTAAAGTCATGCACATCAAGGAAATAATATTAATGCCTGATGAGTTTGTCTTTCAGTGAGTATTTTCACAATGTAATAGTTCATAGCAAGAACTATAAAGCCATTCTGGGTTTGAATTCCTGCTTGGTCACTTCCTATTGTGTAACCTTGGGCAGTTTATTTGCTATATTTCTTAATCTGTAGTATGGAAATAATAACGGTACTGATTTCATAGGGTTGTTATAACGATTAAATGAGTTAATATTCTTAAAGTTCTTAGAACAGTGCATGTAGTAATTGCGATATACATGTTTGTTAATAAATACATAAAATAAAGATATACCAATGTTGAAAGTAAAATGGTGGTTGCCAGGAGCTGGGGGAGGGGCGAAATGGAGAGTTGTTAAATGGGTATAGAGTTTCCATTTTGCAAGATGAAGCATTCTAGAGATTAGTCGCACAACAATGTGAATGTACTTAATCGTTTGGAACTGTACACTTAAAAATAGTTGAGATAGTAAATTTTATGTAATGTACTTTTCCCCACAATTAAATCTTTTTAAAATACCAATGTTAGCAAAGTCATATACAAACATAGGGGAATTTTTCAAGACCCCCCACAGATACCAAAATTCAGGAATGCTCAAGTCCCTTATAAAATGGCATAGTGCTTGCATATAACCTCTGCTACGCACATCCTCTGGTATAATTTAAATCATCTCTAGATTACTTATAATACCTCATATAATGTAAATTCTATGTAAAGAACTGTAAATTCTATGTAAATAGTTGCCCAGTACCCAGCAAAATTCAAGTTTTGCTTTTTGGAGCTTTCTGGAGTCCCCCCCCCCCCCAAATATTTTCAGTCTGTGGTTGGTTAAATTTGCGGATGTGGAACCCAAGGGTACGGAGGGCCGACTGTGTTCAGAATCTTTATTAGCACGCAGCAGCCCCATCCTTAGTTGTCTTTGCCATTGTGAAAATGCAACTTCTGGCAGTCATCAGTAAGATTCACTTATTTGGTAAATTCATGATATTAAGACATCATAAAGAGCACAAACAAATGATAAGAAACAACATCTAATACCCTATGGCAAGCACAGTTCTGAAAATGCCCCTCCACCAAGATTGCATACCCTCATCCCCAGAACCCGTAAATATGATGCAATATCACTCCCTTGATCATGTTTCTTTATATGGCACAGTTGAATTTAAAATGGGGAAATTAGCTGGTGGGCCAAATCTAATCAAAGGGGCCTGTAAAAGAGGAGAGCATTCTCTGGCTGGGGAAATCAGAGATATCTGAAGCCTGAGAAGAACTGAACATGCTGTTGCTGTTTTGAAGATGGAGGTGACACTTGAGAAGGCATGGGGACAGCCTTGAGAAATGTGGGAGCCCTAGAATTGCTGAGGGTGACCCAGTGTGGAAACTGGAACCTCAGACCGAGGGTCAACAAATTGAATGAGCTCAGAACTGGATTCTTTACCAGAACCTTTAGTTAAGAACACAGCCTAGCTAACGCCTTGATTTCTGCCTTGTGAAAGAGAGCCTGAGCAGAGAACCCAGCCAACCCCACCCAGACTCTGACCTTCAGAATTGTGAAGTAAGAAATGGGTGTTGTTTTAAGGTACTAAGCTTGTGGGAATTTGTTACACGGCAAAAGAAAACTAATATGGCAGGAACAGACTACCCATACAAGAGAAAACTGAATGGCTAATAGTCATACGAAAATGCATTCTCTTTCCATTAATCAAAGAAATGAAATTGAAACAACAGCAAGGGACCATTTTTCCAGCTCTCAAATTTACATAGATTTAAAAAAATTCTAATTCTCCACATCAGGTAGTGTGTAGTGGAGCAGACACTCTCAGATGCTGTGAGGGTTGCGCAGATGTTAAACCTTTCTGAAAAACTCATTGGCTGAATGTACGAAAAGTCTCACCTAAATGTGTCCACTCCTCGATCCAGTAGTTCCACTCCTAGCAGTCTGTCCAAAGGAACTTATGAGAAATATTTTAAAAGTTAATGTTCACAAGTGCTTAATATGGCTTTGGTTAGAAAAGTCAGATATTGGCAATAGTCTAAATGCCCAACAAGAGGGGAACAGTTTAAATAAATTATGCTATCATCAAAAGACATGGTTTTATACAGATTTGTAAAAGGATGTTTATGAAGAGTTTTAACAGTGTGGAAAGGTATTTATCAATTTTTGCTAAATGGGGGGAGATAGGCTAGAGAACTGTATGTGCAGTCAACTCTCAACTATGTTTAAAAAACCAGAAAGATCTACCTACATAAGGAAAGGGACTGAAGGGGCCAAAATGGGGCAGTGCTTTTTTCTCATTGGAGGATGAATAGGCATTGTTTATTTTCCCTTTTATACTTTCTGTATTTTCAAAATGTTTAACAATAAGTATATAGTAATTGTTTATAACCATAATAGTCAATAAACATTATTTTTAAAGCTGTTAAAACTTTATGTTGTGGGGAATACAATGAATCTAACACATTGTCCAGTCAAATAATGGAGAATATAAAAATCCATAAATAACTTAATATATGGCAGGAAGTGATGTTTTAAAGAAAGTCTAGAAGATAGGATATGATAAATATGGTTGGAAAGATTGAAATAAAGTTGGATAACTTATTTCTCGATAAGGGTAATCAGTGAAAGCTTTATGGTGGAAGGATGGCTGAATATCATACTGAAATGATAGAAAAAGGAAGCTCATGGTTGAACTTTCATTGTCTTTGTTTTCTCATAGATTGATGGATTTTAGGCTTTGGGCTATGGACTCAGGTTAATTATATAAGTGGAACACAAAGAACTGTGATGGATATATAGCCATTAGCAAAAAAGAAAAAGAAAAAGCCCTCTGCATGTTATTACTAAGAAAACCAAACGGGATGTAGGCCGGTAACATCTGCATTAAAAAACATCCAAAGCTAATACTTATTGAATACTTATCAGGTACTTAAAATACTCTATTCCAGTTTAATCATGTATGCAGCCTTCCCATAATACTTTAAGTCACGTCATACATTTACAAATTTAAGAAACAGGCAGGTAGAGGGGTACTACTTTAATTACTGGTTTCAGAAGAACTGGTTTTAATAGAAACCTGTAAAGGTTAGACCATTTGGGCAGAATTTTTAGCATTCTCCATCTCTAGACAGTTTGCAGGAGCCCCAGACCACTGCTACTCCTTTTCTTTCCTACTAGCTCCCTTTTCCATTTTCACTTTACACTGTCCTCCAACACCTGTAGAAAAGTATGGAAAGTGTCTGTTGCTCCACTGGCTGTTAGCCAAATGCTGATTTTCTTCATGGGGAGTGTTAACCCTTCAAGAGAAACCCTGTGGAGGGATATCTAGCAAGGAATTGCTTTTTTTCTTTTCCTTTTTCTTTTTGAGTGGATTTTATATATGGTTCATAAGTAGCGGAACTGTATGCTAGCTTGGAGTTTCTGGTGTAAGCTAATGCAGAGAATTCAGTGATGAGTGAGAGTGTGATAAGAATAACCACGAGTAGTAAATTCCGTGCATTGTGTTTGCTCTGTTTCATTGGCTACTGTAGGTATTACCAGACAGCAATAACAAGCCTACATAGTTCACCTTCATATTGACAGTAAGGCATGAAGTTTATTTGGTCCATGAGGGTAATTAATGTTAATGGCAACATGAATTATGAGCAAAAACCAAAGTCAAAATATAGAGGCCATTGTATTGAGATGTCAGGCATGCTATTTTCGTTAACATTTTGTTTGTTTTTCATACACTCATTAACTGTCAATTTGAGTTATGTGTTTTAAATTGGATTCCCCGATTATATGCCACATTTATGAGTATGGGAGAGATTTATTTGTCTAGTTACCGTGATTAGTGTAACCAATTTATAATTCAGTACAAACTGAAGCTGCCCTGTTCTGCATTATCCAGTTTACTTGTGGACATTTATCTAACTGGGAAATTGCTAAATATCCATTTTACCTTGTAGTCTATAGATGTGATTATAAATGTAGATTTTCATAGAACAAGGAACATATATTATAGGTTAGAAAACATTGGAAAGGTAACCA